AATTAAAATTTCAATTTTATTAAAGCAATTACTTGAATAAAAATTATTTTTCTTCTATAATAAATGACCTAGCTCAAACTAAAAAATAATAATAATAAACTGAAATTTGAGCACAAACTCAACCAATTAATGAACCTCGATCTCAAAGCGAAGCTAACTAAATTCACAAGTCCACTTAAACAATATTTACCAAACAAATATTCGTTTATTCATTTTCAATGACATTTTATCAATTGTTGGTACCAACATAAATTATAAACATAAAGATGTCGCTAACTTCCTCCCACCTGACGTAGAGATACGTCCTCCCACCGCCAAAAAACTCGATTTTTGCTCGGTATTGCTAGGTATTATTTGATAATAACGAGGAATATCATCATGTGAAGACCAATACCGAGTTATACCAAGCTGTACTGAGCAAAACAAAAAAATACCGAATTCTTTCTAGGAAAAACTAGATATTTTTTTTGTATTGTTCGGTATTGCTCGGTATAGCTCGGTAAAACTCGGTATTGGTCTTCACATAATGATATTCCTTGTTATTGTTTGATATTGCTCGGTATTTCTCATTTTTTAGCGCAAATTTAGCTCTGGGAGGACGCAATAAAAATTCCAATTGGGACAGCATTTTTCCTACCTTCAAAACAATTTTTAAATATAAAAATTAAGAATTTTATGCTAAAAATTTACATTAAAAACCAAAAAAAAAAAAAACCCAAACAAACTTTCGTTTGAAACAATTTTCTTACTTCTTTATAAAAACAATTCTTTAATATATCAATTTCTAAAAAACAATATTTATATTAAAAGGCACTACCTTCGTATTGATTTGCAAAACTACTAAAGAGAATAATTTTTAAAACCAATATTAAAAAAAAAATTGAAAGCAACCCCATAAAAAATAATTATTATGATTACGAAGAAAGCCTATACATGATACTGCCAGTATTTTCACAATAAACAGAAACTAATGTTAGTGGACTACGCTTCAGTTCAAATCAGGGTTTTGCAAGAAATTTTTGGCCATATTTCTTAACAAAATTATTGAAAATTTTTAGATATCTCCTTTTACAATTCATTATTTATAAGTAAAACCTCAAAATACATCTTCAACTTATTAAACAAAAAAGAATAAAGACATGTGTGCAGCGATCACAATAATGTCTAGTGAGTCAATAGTAAATATACAGTAATCCACAATTGCAATTGCTCACTTAAAAAGATTGATTTGTCATCATTCAAACATTTGCAAGCTCAATCATGATGAAATAAAATAATTAACGCTGCTCAACCAGTCCTAAAAATTACAGCTAAAGAAAATTTTAATCAATTATTCTATCACTAATACATCCCACATCAAAATTCTACTTATACATGCTTTACATTAAAAAAAAAAAAAATACCCCACCTGAATTTTAGATCCAAACAATTCTTCAAGTTCAAAATAGCAAGACAGCTTATGATCTAAAAGGGCTATTCTGAAACAAATTCTAAAGAGGAAGTCCAGTGCTAAACTTCAAAGGGGCATCTGCTACAGTCGCTGCTGACTGGTTAAGTTTTTCTGACTAAACAAGGAAGGGAAACTAGATCATGAAAGCTCATCGATAAGAAGATAAGAAGTGGAAAGAATTCATGATTTTGAGATCAAACATGATTGTCTTATTCAAACTAAGGTTTCGTGTGGGACAACTTTCTTACTACTTCATAAAACGGCTTTCTAGTACAAAAATTTTATTTTTTTTACTAGAAAGTCGTTTTAAGAAGCAGAAAGAAAGCCGTCCCAAACGAGACCTAAGTTAACTAAACACAAATGAGCTAACAGTTAGATCTAAGTCATCTACACAAGAGAGACGACATAAAGATTCAGGTCCCAAGATCCCAATGTTCGATATAAAAGAGGTGGGAGGAGTTGAGTATAATCTATGGATTTCTGCAGAAAGCTAAGAGTTAATAAAAAAAACTGGAGCTGGAGGTGCCGGAGGTGCTGGAACTGAAAGTGAGAAGGGGATTTTGATCGGCAGGCTGAAGTATGAGGACAGATAATCAGTTGGGGGACAGCTTTCCTAGGAAAAAAAAATTAACAGCTTATCACAACCAATTTGGACATCCTAACGGTTTAAAATTCAAATTCGAAACTTGCTTCTTTTTTTAGAAAGCTATTGAGATATTAGTCGAAGAGTATAGCAACTATTTTGTAACTTTGTACCGTTCTTTACGAAACAAGATTTACTCTCATGGTATCAGAAAGAGGCTGAACCTACAACCTGATGGAGTCTAAGCAAATTTAGGAGAATTATGTTGCAGAAAAAACAGCTCCTTTACTGTATCAGAGCCTGCCCTTAACCGATAGCAACACTCTGCAGGTATGACCAACAATGATCAATCTCTCCAACCCTTCAAACAATTAATCAAAAAGTAATTGTAAAAATTTATTTTGGAATGATCGCAATCGATCTAATTAGTCACAATTATGGTGGGAAACAAAGCTACGTCAGCACTGAAAACAAGAAACCAACCAAGAATGATATATATAACATTCCCTACATAGAGATCAGAAAACTCTAAAGTCATGGCCTCACAGTAAAATTCGATGAAGTGGCCATTCACAAAAGCATATGTTCCTAGCAATCGTTTAAAAGAAGTGGGAGAAACCTATTTAGGTTTAGAAAACTAATCTATTTTTTTGAATTAAAATCAAAACTCTGGAAATCCAACTAAGGGGTGTGATGTTACAAACTATCACAGTGAAATAATAACATAGTGGCGAATGTTGGATCAATGAAATGAAGATGTATGAAAGAATCCAAATGATTGCACAGGATTATTAAAAAAAAAAGGAAGAATAGTTGCATCTCAGTTCCTATCACAAAACTACTATAAGTATACCCAATAATCCTCTTCAATATATTAGAACTAAGCAATATCAAAATTTATAGACATTTGATAAAAAAATCTGTAAAATGAATTATTTGCAGGGCTTTTGCTTCAACTTCTCAAGAAATCAACAATATCCTTACAAAAGGATAGTTCAAAGTCAATTTTGTTGACAAATTAAATTGGGTTGGTTCTATCACTGACAAAATATCCATTTCACGTAATGGTACCTATGTATGGGGCAAACTTGTTGCCTGGGTGAGCAGAAAACAAAATGTGTAACCCAGGACAGTGATGAAGTTGTATATATAGAACAAAGCTGCAATAAGTATAACCAATAATCATATCTAACCCGACAGAATAAAGAATTCTGAGGTTGATTGAAATTTTCTGAAGGGGAATCTTGACGAAAGAATTATAGGTGTTTTTTATTCCAACTTTCTAACAAACTACAGGCACACTCACAAAAGAATTGTTCAAAATCAATCTTCTCCTAAGAAATTTGTGATTGACTGATATCTACTTTCCAACTTAATGTGGAGTGTAGTAAGGAAAGAATCGATGAAAATCAAATAGATGCCGGAGGAACCAAAACATAATTGGAAGGGGTATACTATATGAGACAGATGGAGTACGAGTAAAAGGAAAGGTATTCACATCTTCCAAAAAAGAAATTGAGAAAATGCTATCCATTAATTAGAAAATCCTAATTGTTTTCAATTCAAATTTGAATGTTTTTTTAGAATGTTATCCAGTGATTGATAGTAAAAAGACATCAAGTATCACCACATAAACATATGCATTGGTGTTGATGAAATATGATAAGATTTCTATAATTGTGCTTTACCTTCTTCAAACTCTCAGTTCCCCATAAACCGCTTGCAATCTGATTGGAAGAAGATTTAGAAATACTGGTTCAAGTGATAATATCATATGTAACATATTAAATCTGAACAAATATTTTGCCGGTAACAAGAAATTTATTACATTCTTCTAAAAGAGTGAATATTTTGAGATACGAGAGCTCCATAGACTACAGAATGAGTAATATATAGGTCACTGAATTGAGTAACAAGGCGGTGCTATAATCTGCTCACAAAGATAAAGCAACAGCACAAAAGTAAAAAACTTAAATTCGATATAAAAACGCTACAAATGAAATCAGGGTATCATGAAAACAAAAAAAATGAGGCAGTAGCGAAGTACAGGTAATTAAGCTAAGCAATCTCAGCAAAACTACCTCAGATCTGAATGAACAAGTATTATAATCAGCCCTAGCTCAGGAAATATCAATGAGGTCCGGCATACTTAAAAGTTTCAGGAAGGATCATATTTTCCCAATAGCGCAAGTACGGCAGCATTCTCATTGGAAGATAGAGCAGAATACTATGGAGTGGACCAAATTGAGATTTTTATGAACAAGCTTTCTTTCGTAATTAAGGAAAAGAAGAAGCCGTATGGTTAACCAGAATAAACAAAACATCAGAAATTCTGGCAAGTATGGAAAATGGAAAGGTCCTCGGCATTTTTTTCAGTATTCCAAGAGCATCAATTGCTCAGTAAATGCATCAAAACGGGGAAATGAAAAAATTATATTCCTACCAAAATAATTTTTAGAATCAAAATGGCAACAAAAGCGAGTTAATCTACTAACATTTCACCACCAGAAAGTGGCCAAATGATCGCAGCTAAAAAATGGTATAGTAGTACTTGATTGAAGAAATTTGAAGCCCATGATATAGAACGAGAACCACAACAGCATTGTAGTAGTAGTCTAAAACTAATGGTGGATCATCAGCAGATTCAATGGCCACAGGCATGAATAAGTTGAGCCTCGGTAAAACGAAACTATTAAGATAGCATTGATGTAAAGCCATTACAAATTCTGTGTATATTATGGATTTTTTCGGGGAAAGAACATAGGCTCGGAAGAAAAATGAGATCATTCCAATTATAACGAGCACCGAACAAACCACACAAGACTTTTTAATTTGAAATTTTATAGAAAAGAAACAAGGAAAAAAATGATGAAAACATCTAAAAGCAACATAAAATTAGAATGGATGTTGCACTGGTTCGCACAAATGAAGAGTTAAGTATAAGATGATTGCATCGAAGAGAATCAATTGAAAATTTCCAAGTTCATATAGCAAAAAAATGTCTCCAAAAGTCAGAAACAAAGAAATAGTGCACCTTTGAGATATGAGCTAAGTGAAAACATTTGTTCTGATGGAAAAGTGTAAGCACAGCACAGTCTTACAATGAAAGGATGCAGAAGATTCGAAACATAATTGAGAAGAAGAGTGTGAAGATACCAGACAACCAGCTAAAGATATGCTAAAGAGAACACCCATACTGACAATAGTGACATCTGCTCTACCAGCCATAAAATTAAAGAGTAATAGAAAAGAACCTAAACTTCTAAGATGTCCATAAAGGCATCGGCATAGAGAAGTCCCCTAGTTTCCCCTATTTTCTTGGAAGGTTCTTCATGACCCTGTTTGATGGGAAAAGTAGAAGTTAAAGGAACAAGAATTTATGGATCCTATTTCTTCCTCTGCAGAACAAAACAATGGAACCAAGGAGGGTGAACTTGAATTCCATATTACAGAACAGATGATAACTTTCTGCATCTAAAGAGTGAACATGGATGTTCAGGTTGACATGATAAATGCCTGAATCAAGTTCTCTGCAGAACGCTTCTGATCTGGGGTCCCTGAAATCTGTGCAATACGCTCAAAGCGTGATGATTTAGAATCAACAATTTCTATATCAGCTCCAGAGATCTGCATGAGATAAAAGTACAAAATGGTCAAGAGGCAACTGGATGATGAATAGAGGATAGGTCAATTTTACAGAGTTAAGAACTAAGATATAAAAGCAATGCAAATATGTGAAAATAGCATCCACCGCAATTATTTTGCTATGTTGGCCCGCTAGCTTATGCGGCTACATACAAAGATTAGAAGGCAAAAAGAATTTCTATATAGGTGATAAGTTCCAGAATATGCTTTGCATAAATAATTGTTCTAGAAATTAAATTGTTGACAGTTGACAGTAGACAGTTCCTTTAGCCAATGAAAAAGCTTTATACCAGATCAGAGGCAGTTATTTATCCCATTTGGTAATTGTACAAAACATGAAACTGATCAATGCTCATCAATAGAGGGCAAGCGTGAAAGAAAGGTCATAGCTTCGTAGCATGCTCAACAAAGTACAAACATAAAAAGAAGAAAAATAGGCGGCCTATCACAGTTTCTAAAATGTCAACAGCACATACAGCCAAATATTTGCAATGACAGAACAAAATGGTCCATAAAGGCAATAATCCCTGACATTAACATTAATACCGATGTTGGTTAACCTTGGAATAAACAATAAAGCATATGAAGACTACAGGAAATATTCTTTAAATGTTAAACTGGTAAATTTTGCCTCCTATTGCAAATGCACTGCAGCAATATCATTAATACCGTTATCTAAAATCATTCCAAAACCCCACTCTCAAGAAGAGAGACAGAGAAGAGGTGTGGTATGGTTGGGATGGTGTAGGGGGGAATGATGGGGAACTACCATAGTAGATCAAAATATACAATAATAATCCCTCCACTCATCAACATTATCATTATCAAATAGCGATATCACAGATATTGGGATCCACTTTATGAATCCTCATTCTCAGTTTCCTGCTAAGTGCTTAATGAGGTGTTTTAACTAATTTTACACATCTTTATTCTCAACTTCTTTTCATCTTCCTTCTTAATACTTCAGCAAATGCTACATCCAACCATATTATGGCATTCTCTAACCTTCATTACCTACCTCCTCCCCTTTCCCAATCCTTCTGTAGGTGTGCAGTTTCTATGTCAAAATATTGGTAAATTCAATAATAATTGGTTGCCTGATAGCTAGCTTTTCTCGAGTGAAATGGTGACCTTAGTCAAGTCCTATAAAGAAATGAAACAGCTTTTTATCAGCTCAAAGAAGTTACTTTCCTTATTGGTACTTGTGTAAGCAAAGGAACTGATTGGGCAAAGCACATCAGTGTGAGAAATATGGCAAAAACAACAATACTAGGGTCTATGTAAATGTATGATGTATAAAAAATTTATTTTAAAACCAAACAACCAGGCAATTACAGCATAAAATAGCCCAAATCCAATGATTCCTAATACAAACAGCAAAATTATCTTGCTACCATCAACAAGAAATATGAAGACTACAGGTAATATTCTAAAATTGTTAAAACTTAAAGTTTGTTATTCTATCCAAGCGTATTGCGGCAATATTATCATTGCTGCCAAGGAAACCACATCAGAATATCAACATTCTACTCAGAAGATCAGAGCAAACCATACTGCTGAAAAATAGGAAATTAAACATTAGGAATCATACAAAAAACTACAAAACCAAGGTAAAGGAACTTTTCATATACTTTGCCTCTTCTACTGGAATCTTATGGACAATTCAATGTTGAATTCCCTTTAAAATAAGCACTGTTTGACTGATTTTTCTCAACAAAACCTTTCTCAACCAAAGTTTTCCAAAAATAATGATAACTCAACAAACCAAAAAAATGATAACCATGTCCCCAAAATACAAATTTTCTCTCCATGGTTGTTCACATTACACCCAATCAAACATTTAGGTTCTTTCCATAAATTACCCCGGCGGTGGCAGTGGCGGTCAACGGGCTTTGGCGGCCTAGAGGCGGTGGTGGCAGTTTGTGGGTGGCATGCAACGAGTTTGCGGCGTATTTGCAAAATAGTCCAAATCAGAAGAATTCCAAATACACCAAAAATGAACTAGCCCGTGTATTCCAAATGCACTGAAATTTTACTCTAAGTTCCTTATACTTCAAACCAAATACCAATATTTACAAAAACCACTGCATTATGAATACTTTATACCCTTTTTGCAACAAACCAAACAGCCCCGTAAGAGTTAAATAGTCACATTAATAAAAATAATTATTGGAATTTAATTCAAAACTATGTGCAATTAGTTACTATATATGTTGCTATCCTTGCAATGCTATAAAAAATACTTCAAGGAAAGAGAAACCAATTCGTGAAAGGATATGTTCATTTACAATAAAAAGCAGGCAGAGAAAGAAAACGATACTTCCTTATACATTTTCTTGTCTTGTCTAAGAACTCAAAAAATGTGTGAAAATCTCACCTCCTAGCTCAAATTTTTTCACTTGTGAAAGGGTGCGGACTCTTAACTCAATAAATGTCAAAAAAAAACCTCTTTCCTTCTAAGATACCATAGAAGCACATAGAGTTCTTAACTCATGTCACATAAGACCTTTTTCTTCAAGATAACAAACAAACACTTGAAAACTTCGCACGTTCTCAGAAATGTTCGTACCAAGGACTGAAGCTTTTCCAATATTATCTTTAAAAATTAATAAAATAAAAACAGCACGGCCCAAAAAAGGTTCAACCCTTCAGTACATTTTTTTGTTTGCTAAACATACTTTAATTATAACCATTAACAATGAATGTGGTCATATTTCTATTGGCAGATAGTTGTTGATTCGACTTTTTTCCTTTCCCAAATAGGACTACTATAACAGCAATTAGTTCAATAATATTAGCTCTAATGTACAACCAATTAAGTGTCATAAGTGTATAATAAACAATAATTGGTCTTAGATTGCATAAAACTACATATAAGTATGAGTGGCTATCAAAAGGGCAATGATCAACTAATTCACAGAGACAAAACCTATTAGTAATTAAGAAATATCAAGTTTTAGCATATCGTGCCATCAACCGAGACATCAAAGAATCTAAAGACTTCATTTTTTTACTGTGCAACATCACTATACTTGCCCTGACGACTGAAAACCAGCAATTAGCTGTGGAAGCTACATCCAAAGCTATTGAGTAATTTATTATCAATAAACTAACTTTGCGACACAAAAAAGGTACAAGTTGTCTTTTAAGCTCAATTGATTGGAGTAGAATAACTTCAACCCCTTTTCCAAAAAAGGGTACAATCATTATAATTGCTCGAAGAATCAAACATTCAATGATGAGGATAAAGAGATTGAGATTTCAAAGTATCATGAGACATGGCTAAGGGTGCAAGTTAATAGATCCAAGCTCGAAATCGGCTTGTTAATGAGCTATCAAGTCGAATTGAACAAGCAACGAGCTCGAGCTCAAGCTCGAGCCCGTGTATCAAACGAACTCAAGTTCAAACTTGACAAAACTCAACTTGTAGGCTCCTGAGCTAGCTCAATTAAGATAGAATGTTAGGCTCATGCCAATAACAATTAAAAGCAAAAAGGATGTCTGCCATTCTATAAAGTTGCGCCTACAATTTCCTATAAAAGATTTATTGTAATAGCCGTAATTTTCTTTTGAACTGAAAATAAAAAACTATTGCCCCAAGACTCACTTCTTTTCACTTATTTCCTCTTTAATCTATTTCATATACAGCTACCTTTTTTCTCATTAAATGCATAAAAAAGCACTACATATACATTAAGTTATCTTTATTGACTCCCCAAGTCCCACCATTCTATGTAGCTATTCAATAGCTCCAGCTCGAACTTCTTAATTCACAAACATTTCTTCTTTCAATGGACACTAGTCACGTCGTTCTCCTCCAGAGAGCTCCCCTGCCATGACTTCTCTTTTTCTTTGGAGTTCAACAACTATTCTCGTTAATGCCTTCTCTAATGATGATTCTCCAACAAGCTACCACCGCAACTCTCAAGTCGAGCTCTCGAGCCCCTCAAGTCAGGGAATTAATTGATAAGCTGAGCTCAAGCTCAAACTCGACTCAACTCGTTTACACCTCTAAAGCCACCACAAAAATATTTAACCTCCAATTAAGATAACCTATAAGTGTTGTGGTGTAATTATAATCCATTTAATCAAACATAGTTTTAACTATATACCAAATGATCAAATATAATTTGGTAGATTAAGCTTGGTTAACCTAAAAATAATTGATTAATAAGTAATCAACCATGCACAAATATAATAAATAATCAGAATATTTTCATATCTAAAAAGCCATAAAAAGCTCATTTAGTCGGGCATTTTTTGGTTGTTCCTAGACCCAAAAAAAATGTAGCAAAAGAGGTGCAATCTCAGTTGGATTAAAAAGCAAAAAAAATTAACATTGAAATTTTATTCTAACAAAGTTTCAAAAATGATTCATGGAGCGGCTCAACAATCACTTTCCTATCTCCTTTATGAAAAGGAGATGCCAAACAAAATGAGCCCTAACTAATAAAAATACCAAAAAAAAATATGCAATTAGCTACCAATCATGCACTTAAAAATAACAACAAATAATTTGTAATTTAGCGCGTGCGAGTGCGCACATTAAGGCCATAAATAAATAATTCTACTCATTTTATTAAGGCACCGGCTCCTCAATGCCTTAGTAACTTAGGCAAGTTGACCTTTGGCAAATAATGCATGTCAAACATGCGACACTTATGTGTGATGCCTTTCCACTACCTTAGCTCATGTCATGCATCACAAATAAGTAAATTTTTTATCTTAAGCTTGTTTAGAAAACAAAAGGTATTTGTTTTTCTTCTGTGGAGGTGAGGTGGGTTGCCTCCATGTTATTTATTGGTTTTCATGACAAATGGATTTGTAATAGTCTAGAAAATCTACTGGATGTGAAATTGATATTTATTGATCAAAGTTTAGAAAACCAATTACTGATACTTGTGTAACAGGTTTAAATAAATTGGATTGATCACAAAAAAGATTGAATATGAATAATGGCATAATTTCTTCAAAAAAAAGTCAAGTCACCAAAATGGAAAAATGCTCCTCCTGTATTACCCAATAAGAAAATGGTTAGGAGACTTGAAGGCAAATTATAGGAAACTGCAATTATTACATCAGTCATAGCATATTACTCTAAGAGAGATGCAATAAAGAAATCCCTACTAGTTAAGTTCAAACTATGATGGGTGAGTGAGAAAATGGGAAAAATTAAATAAAATTATCATATTTAAGCGATTGTGAAGAGTAACATCACGTCGTGATATGAAGTTGAAAATAATATTAGTTTATTTGGGAATAAACAATCAAAGGCATAAGATTCACAAATAAGGCTGCTAAATAAAATTAATTTGAAAGGGTAATGAAGAAAAAAAGGGTATCAAAAGAAATAATAACACAAGAAAAAGTTGCACTTCGCATCTCATATACCGTTTACGAGGAATGAACGGAATTCATAAAAGCCCAAAATAAGGCTAGTGAATAGCGATGATAATAATTTACTATGAGAATGATTTCAAAATATTAAATAAGATTGTGAAGAACCATTTTATACTGGGAAACTAAACAACTGAAAAACAGTTTATTAATGCAATTTTAACATGATAAACAGCTTCAATTGAGTTTTTTTTTAAGCTCTGGCATTGCTATTTTTTTATGCTACAAATAATAACCATTTAATGTGGCTTTAAAAACTATTCCCTATGTTTATATACATTATTCATTTTCATGAGTTAGCACTGAACAAACAGTGGGAGCTATCGCCATCCTTCGCATGGTCATGACACCTGCATGTTACTCTTTCAAATTTGGCAACGCAACAAATTAGTTGCATCCTGATAGGAAACACTTGGATTCCAAGTGTTTCTCACCAAAACTGAAGTAGATCCGATGGAAATGACTGTCCACAGCAAAAAAACACAGCAAATATGCTGTTTACAGCAGTTTACAGCAGAATTTCAGAGGAAATTGGAAAGAAAACTCAAAGCAAAATTTGTATTCCACTAGTAGAAGAAGAAAACAGCAAAGATACAATTGATCCTCAATTCGAGAGGAGGATCGATCTCTCCCAAATCTCTGGTAACGCCAAGAGCCCAAAGAAAAGCTAATTCTAAGAGATCTCAAATTTCAGCCAAATTCAAGATACTCAAACCCTAGCCAAATCAACTATTTAATGCATACAAATCAAAAGGAATTCCCTAAACAATCCCTAAGTTCAAATTTCCCTCTCAAAACGCTCAAAAAAACTTCCTAAACGGCTCTACGGGGGCGGACGGCCGCTCGTTCTCCGCCTGTTCGCGATTTTCGCCCGTGAACCGGTCCCGCCTGGACCGGCTGGATCGGTCTAACACATCCACAGCCCAATTTCAAATATAACAATAGGTGAGAGAGACGGAATGCCAGTGAAAGAGGCAGAGAGAAAGAGGGGGGAGAGGATTTCAAATTTTCAATAACAAACTATGAAAAACTTAAAAGAAACTGGAATGACAGGCATGCTGGACATGGTCAGACAAAAAGTTTTAACACCTCACATAGGCTTGCTATCTCTGTCCAGCATTTCCTTTAAAAAGAATAAAAGTATGAAAACAGAAATATTCCAAATACTTAACAAATCACATAGTTCCTCGGTTCCTCCTGCTCCCATTCAGCTAACTCATTCTAAAACAACTTGCCAATTAATACTTGATCATTTCTTTCTTTGTTCATGCAATAATTGATTGCTTCGCATCCCTACACCAACATTTTTTATCTAACTAATCAAGCATTCAAACGGTATAATTTTTTCCCTAAAAAATATTATATGAAATTCCAACATAGCTGCTAGCATTACCAACCTAATTGGTGGTAGCATATGAGGAAGAAAAATAAGTTACATATCAGCAATTAATCTAAACAAAGCGTTCAACTCCAGAACACGTTCAGCATACCTCTAAACTACTCGGTCCACCCCTAGAGAATAATATGTATATCAAATTTGTTAGAAATATAGCTAAATTAGTATTGAAATTCATTTAAAAGGAAATGTAGAGGGTCAAAATCCAATTGAATCTCAGTTGTCAAAACTAATATATCTGGGAGTTCCACTTTAGAATTCTATTTTATAACCTGCAAACAAATTTTGCAACCAATCCAATTATGCGCCCCAAACGCATCTTGTTAATTTTCATCCATCCAAGCAAAACCTAACTTCTGACTTAATCTAAATATGATGCATTAGTTACTCAGTCGGTATAGCAAGGTGTCTCAATATGTACCATGTTGCCCGCTCTGACATACTAATGCAACTTAACATTTTTTATAGTTATGCATTTTAGCTAATTAGAAGAGGACCAATAAAATGGTAGTGATAAGTTCATAACGGTGTTTTCTGTTTAGCAGCAGTATGCCATGAGCAATTATTAGAGCATGAAGCAATAACTATGGAACAAAAGGTTTCAGCCTGAAATGTACCTTCCGGATATTAGCAAGGTTTGATCCACCTTTTCCCAATACTTTGCCAATGGCATGTGAGGGAATACTCATCTCAACATATGACGGCAATCTGCATTATCACAAAAAAATGGGTTTGATAAAAGCTACTTTATATATCAATTAGCAGAGATGATTAAGAAAACCACTGATTACAGTATGCTATTACAGAAAAAGAAAGCATCATCTTCATGCAAGAACATAAAAAAGTAAAACAAGAAAGAAAGGGAACCAAAAAGTTGCAGAGTAAAACAATATCAATCGGAATTTCCAATCATGTGTACATTAATAAAAGGAACACATACCCTCCATAAGACTTTGATGAGTAAGATGAAAGGGAACCATATGCGTTCTCTCCAGCCTTGGCACAAAAATACAGAACTCGTCAAGGACAAGAAATGATCAAGTGGCGATGCCGGTGATAGACGATTAAGCATATAACTAGACTAACAAATCTAAACAAATTAGTATAATTATGTTATAACAAACAACTATGATACCTGAAGAGAGTTGTAACCATAAAGACTGTTGCTAGAAAGCAACCCCAGCCCACTTCCAGGTTCAGTTCTATGATCATAACCCAAACTACTGACACTTTGAACACCGGGCAGTAGAGGAGGCACAGACAAATTGCTAGTATAAAGAGAATCGATAGGAGGTACAGCATTGCTTCCCTCCCTATCTTTCAGAGCATCCTCCCTGAGCCTAAGTATAATCTGAAGCAATGCTTCTCGTACCCTACTTACCTCCCCGGATACCTAAGGCAAGTTGAAAACAATAAGCATATTAACAATATATTATCTGCAAGAAATTGAGGAAAAAAAGTGCTTTGATTCAAGATAGACAAACCTCCACACGCTCTTCATCTGAAGAAGCAGATTTTGCCTTTTCACTCTTTGAGATGCGAATCTCAGCCTTAGTTTTCTTGCGCATTTCATTTATAATTGAACCACCCTTACCAATAAGGCAGCCAATCACTTTGGTGGGAACAAGAAGGCGAATAGACACTGTTTTATCATCTTCATCATGTATCTTTCCTTGAAGCAACAATACAGCCTCAACTGCAGCTGATTTCACATCATCAAGAGACTGCAATTGCAGACAATAGATGAGAAAAGAATCACAGATCACGAGAATAATAATAGCAGCGTAAAAATAAAGGATTGAACCAAACCTCTGTGGAAGAGACAGTGATGATACACTCATCATTTTTTTTCTTTGTATCATCAACATCAACACTCGCACCACTGGATTGCCTCACAGTTTTGATCGTGCTCCCTCCTTTCCCAATAACACGTCCAATCTTGTCTGATGGACACAAGACCCGCACAACAAATTCCTCAGTGCGTGATGGACCACCATATCCAGATAGAACCGGAATGGTTGATGAGTACACAGGCCAAGTACTGGCAGAATCAGTGTATCCGTGAAGTTCAGGTACATGTTGCGTTGCACCAATAACTGAGGGCACAGATCTTGATGGGGCAACAATTGCATCAGTGCTATGATAGAAGTTACTAGATGGGTAAATAGGAACATCAGAAGGAATGATTATGCTGGGTGGAATTTCCGCAATTGTTGTATCGAGTGAAATGTCTTCCTTTGGAGAGAACTTATACATAATTGCCGAAACTGCAAGAAGAGCCTTCTTCACTGCTACAGCGTCACCAGTTATCTGCCAAGGCATTAAAGTAGTAAAGGATAAAATAATAAAATGTCACATAAGGAATTTCCATGTTTGTTATTATGAAATGTGTTGTTGGCCATACAGCAAGATCACAGAATCAGCATAACATATTAAAAAACATTTCTATCAGATGGAAATTCAACAAGCAGAAAACAAAATACTATGAAAACTTCTAATCAAAACCTTCAGTTACTAAACAACTAGTTCGTTCAAAAATATAGGAGAAATAACAAAAGTAAATGCCAAGAATAAATAAGTTAATAACAGTAAAATGCAGTTTTTTTTTAAATTGGAGTTGCACTCAATCAGGATAAACCAAAACCTATAACGCGTTTTGTGCCCAACCAGGAGAACATTTTCAGTTGTTGAGACAATGGTATGCAAATGCCAACTGACTGTCAGATTATGTAATTGTGAAGAAATAAACAGCCGTGGCCAGTAAAAAGCACATGCCACCACAGATCCACAAATGTTCTTTTCCTCTCACATCATGCGTGAGGAGTTCAAGTATCCACATTGAACAGCATAAACAATTTGCACAGTCCATGCTCCTCCAAAAAGGAAAAAAAAATCTATCCTGCATACACATGTTATGAATCCCCGGCATTAACCACTAGCCATTGGTAATTTGGAGAGTGCCATGTTATTTCTCCGACACATCATGAGTGAAGAGTTCAAGTAAATCACATTTAATAATTAATAATTTGCATATTAGGTGTTCTCTCTCTACCCTCCCCCTCAAGCCCAAAATACTCCCTACCTCCCACCTCACTTGTCCCTATCCTCAATTCCTCATCAGTCCCCACCCCCTCTCATTTGCCGCAAACCTTCACTTCTATCAGCATCCTTTACACATCATATAATTAACAATTTACATAGCACATACTCTCTCCCCGTCCACCCCATCCCCAAATCCATACATCCCTCCCACCCTCTTTCCACCTCTCTTGTACATCTTCCTCACTACATATCACCTCCCTTCTAACACCAACCTTGTCCTTCCCCTACCCCCTCCCTTCTCTCTCTTTCTGCATCCATCCCTCTCCCCTCCTCTCCCTTCAAAACCTTCATATCAACTCCCACTTCCAACCTGCCCTCTTCATCCCTATCCCTCTCTCCCTCTCCCATCCCCCCCATCATTTGCCGCAATCCTTCACTTATATCAACATCCTTTACACATCATATACTTAACAATTTACATAGTACATGTTCTCTCCCCATCCACCACATCCCCAAATCCATAGATCCCTCCCTCCCTCTTTTCACCTCTCTTGTACGTCTTCCTCGCTCCCTATCATCTCCATTTTAACACCAGCCTTATTCCTCCCCTACCCCCTCCCCTCTCTCTCTCTCTTTATGCATCGATCCTTCCCTCCTCTCCCTTCAAAACCTTCATCTCACCTCCCACTTCCAACCTGCCCTCTCCATCCCTCTCCTCTCTCTCCTTCCCTCCATCACACACTCCCAAACCACCTCTCCTCTCCCCCCCCCTCCTCTCTTTATTTTTCCATCAATACATTTCTCACTCCATTCCCTTCTTCATCTCCAGCCATCCCCCTCCCCATCACTCTTTAACACTCATGCATTCATTGACATCCTTTTGTAAAAAGTATGCTTCATATTGTGATCAAGCAACTAAGCAAGAAGAAAATAATTGAGAAAGATATTGAGAATTAAATAGATTAATATATCTACCTGAAGAAAGTTATCAAAGCTCATTGCACACGAATGAGCAGCATTGCTGGCATCCTTAGCATTAATCTTGATTACTGCCTTGGTTTTTGCCCTTAACTTCTTGATGATTGTCCCAGACTTTCCAATAATGTTAGAGGATTGACTGGTCGGAACAAGCAATTCAACTTCTTCCTTACCTTGTTGGTCATCATCCTCAGTGTTTGACAGGGCATTTACAATAGCAGCATGGACTCTCAACAAACCATCTTGGGCAGGACAAAGAGGTTTGGTGATTTCATCATCAACTTCAACAGGCTCCTTATCTTTCACATAACAATATACAATTATAACCCTCTTCTGCGCACCAGGATAGGGATCCACAACTTTGATCTTGGCATGTGTCTCTTGTCTCAGGGAATTGATTACTTTACCACCTTTGCCAATTACACTTCCAATAACATTATCTGGACAAAGTATGCGATACAAAACCAAGTCTCCATCATCAAAATTTTCCTTGTTTCCAACCCTCCTCTTTTGATTCTTTCCTACAGTATCATCATCCCCACGACGACTTCGCTTGCCAAACTCAGCCATTCTATAGGACCTGAGAACAAAAGCACATCTTAAATAAAAAAGAACATAAATAGAGTACGAACAATTGCAAATATATCAAGGCAACACATGCCACATATTAACACATTACACAAAACAAATAAATGTAATTTTTTCTCCATGGGCTGCAAAAGGGTTTATAGAGAGAAAAAAAAATGTATAATTTGTTATCAAAAATGTTAGGAGATAATAGTAAACAATAACCTGCAAAAGCTACTAAAGCTAGCAGATATCATTTATTCAATGGCTGTACAAAGTCAATAAACATAAGGAAACATAATGTAGGAAATAAAATAATTTTTCCACTCTATTATACTCATCAAAGTGCTCATTGTGTGAACAAAGGGTAACATACAACAGGATTTCCAATATTTATATTTTCTGATTTCAAAATCAAAATCCCTTTATTGGTTGGTTGTGGTTTATCGGTGAATTCAAACATGTATACATTTTATTAAATTATATTTTCTTTAGATTTATTTTTTATATTTTTGGTAGTAGAAGCTTGCCAAAGCACCATCAACATCTTCATAGCCCGAGCAGAACTGTCCACTACTCAGCTAGTTGCCATAAGAGAAATTCAAAGACCTTCAGAGCTCAATGTTCTAGGGATGGTCATGGGTTTCCAGGAGCTCACCAAACCACGAACGAAGGTTTCCCTTGAGCCATCATGGATCATGATGGAGGTCAGCTGCCTTAGTTAGAGCTAAAAATACAACTGTGACTTGTCAAAGCCTGTGGCCTTTATTTTTATTATCTTCAAAAAATTCTACAGGTGATACTAAATGCATCTAAAGTTTCTACAGTTCATTGATAGTTTTAAAATCCATCTTGACTTCACATTATAACCAACAAATGACATAACCTAACAAATTTAATATTTCCTAAAAATCCATCAAAATTAGAAAGAATCCAGTATATCGTGCTAAAGCACCGGAGTAGAGATTCATTTTTGCCAAGGAAATCCGCATAAAGAACACTACCTTTATGATACCAAAAATTTATAAACCATTCCAAATATAAACAAGAAACATGAGCAGAAATTTAGAAGACAAGGAATAATACGCATCGAGCCAAAACAACCAACACCTTGCTCGCAGGAAACAACACCAAAAGGATACCAGTAAGATAAAACAAGGTGCATGGAAAAACTTAATCAAAGATCCATAAGGTGCTCCTTACGCTAATATAGAAAAGACGAAAAAGATAAAACAGATATGATTAACAAAGCAATAACTGAAACAAACAGAAAAACATGTGGATAGAAGATTATGGCGTAAAATAATGAAAATTTTTCGACCAAAAGAAGTTATACATTCAGAAATTTTATTTCCAAAAGAACCGATAACAGCATGAAGAAGTGAGGAAAAGGAATCAATCCTTTGCAATATCTTGAATCGGGGTCGGGAAAAAGGGAAGATCCTCACCTACTAGTCTTCGAGGGCGACTGCTGGAGAACTGCTGAGGAAGAAGACGGGGAAAAGACAAATCTGGTAGAAGAAAGAGTTGCTGAAGAGGCGGCACAGAGAAATAGATCGCTTAAGGTTTATGAGGAGCCTCGTAAGTTTATTGCGAGGCAGGAGCCCTAAACCCTAGCTCTCTCGACAAAAAGCCAGCAAAGCGATTTCAAGAGTAATAAATATAAAACAAAAAAAACACCCTCCTGTTTATACGATGTAAATCAAACGGTTGAGATGGGAGAGTTACGCCGTTCGAAACCCGCATGTCTATATTCTCTTAATATTTTCCGTTAATTTGGGTAAATTTAATTGCCTAAATTTGCATTGCTATTAACCCAACTAAATAATGAATTGATGTGGAGCTTATAATTTTGATTATTTGAATCACATTTTTTTTATCTTACTTTTATTTTTGAAGGGGATCCAATAAATGAAAGAAATTGATTTTCTTGAGATATATGTTTTAATCACATTTAATAGATAAATCATTATGGATCATTCAATTACTTTATATTTTTAATTTTATGTGAAATAAATAATTAAGCATAAGGTCTTGTTTGAAAAACTTTTGACCATTATTTTTTTGCAAATTTAAACACACTTTTTTGTAATGGAAAGTATGGGTGTCAGAAATAAATATTCGGATTGGATTCGGGTCAAAGTCGAAATTGACCCAAGTATAATCAGTTGATATGAACCAACCAAATTTGTAAATTGGCTATAAATTCAAATCGTGACCCGACCAGAAACACGGAATACAGCCATGTGCGGGCAAAGGGTGCTAGTTGGCAGACCTGTAAGCGAGGAGTGAGCGGGGTGGGTGAGTGCGTATGCGGTCATGATGCGAGCGCAGGTCTAAATGTAAGAGAGTGTGAGAGAGCTCGCTACCAAGTGCAGGCGAGCATGGGATGGCTGGAGCGCTACAAGCAGGCGTGAGAGTGGGATCACTGCAAGTTAGGGGGTGACCCGGGTCATTTTTGGGTTGATTTTTATACAAAATACGAAAATAATACTTCTCTTCTTCTTCACGCATCTCTCTTTATTCTCTCTGAGTTCTTGGTTTCTCTAGTGAAACCTTTCTACATGGTATCAGATAAGGTCTGATTCTCTTGGGACCATGGATGCTTCAGTCATGTCTATGTCTCTAGACAGATCTGCCTCGGTAAACTCTAACATTACCGGAATTTCTTCATCTCTAAAATTTCTTCTTGGCAACCTCAAGAATTTCATCCAAGCGCCCCTGACCACCAAAAATTACTCGGTATGGAGGTCACAAATCCTCAAGATTACACGTGCGAATGGCTTTGACACATTTCTTAATCCATCGTTTTCGCCTCCGGCACAAACCATCGAGAGCTCCGATGGAACCACCGTCAGGAATCCAGACTATACCAACTGGATACTTACAGATCAAAACTTAGCAGCTGCAATATGTGCCAAGATCTCACCGTTGATCCTTCCGTTCGTCATTAATCTTGAATCCACCTCCTCCATCTGGACTACATTGGCCACTCGGTTTCAGTCGACGAATCGATCCCGAGATATTCAATTGAAAAACGAACTTCATCATATTTCGCTCAAGAATTCCACCATGACGCTGTACCTTTCAGACATTAAATCCATCGTAGATCAAATTGCAGCGGCCGGGTCGACAGTGGACGCTGAGGATGTCATTCTGTACATCCTCAACGGTCTCCCGAGTTCATATCAGAGATATTCGTTTTGTAAACCAAAATCACCGATATTTTATAGATAAAATGATTTATTTTATGTATATTTTTCTGTAATTTTTTAGGTCCTAAAATAATTTATTTAAATTTTATACTAAAGAGATTTATTAAATCATTTATATAATATTAAACTATTATTTAAATGAAAATATCTTAAACCATTAAACTTTGGAGTTTTTACATACATAACACTTAAAACTATGTTATTTACTCGTTTAACACTTAAAGCTTTCTATTTACACACATACCACTAAAAAGCTTTTCTCATTTATAAAAAGCCACTCCGTCCCTCTCTACGTGAAATCCTGCTGGCTTTACTTCGGAAGGTCGTCCATGCGCCGAACCCTAGTTTTTTCACTCTTCGGACATTCGCCATCCCTAGTGGACGACGCCGCCTCACCTTCCTTTGCCAGGTGAAATCTCCTCATTCTTCTATTTCCAACCTACCTATTCTTCTCCATATATGGATGCCGCCGCCTCTCCTTCCTTTTGATGGGTGAACTCTCCCATTATTCTCTTTTCCACATCCCTTTTGTTCTCCATATCTTATATTTTCAAATCTCCTTACCATTCTCAACTTATCTTTCCATTATGCTTCAGATTTTATGTATTATCCTCAAAATCTGTAGGAATAAGAGTATGTGTTTTTCATTTGTCTTGTGCTTTCTGAAATGTGACCTAATGTCTTAGTTTGCGTTTGCTTTGAATGTTGTATGGAAATTGTTCGTTTTATTTAACACTTGATTTTGTGATGATATAGCAAAAAATTAGAAATGAAATCCTTTGTCATGTGAAAACCTGAGCAATCCACGTTCGGACTTAAAGCAGTGAAGTCCGTTCAATTGATTTTATGAATTCATTTTGTCTTATGATTGTGTATTCTTGTATTGATAAAGCAGTGAAGTCCCTTCAATTTCAGGTTTTTCGTTATAGTTATAAACACAATTTTTTTTTTTTGCAATTACAGGTATCCTCCTCGATTTGTGAAATGAGTTCGAGCCAGTCGACGACATCAATGCGAAACCTGGACATCCCTATTTATTGTCATTGTAATCTACAATGTTAAATTTTTACTTACTATAAACCGAACAATCGTGGCAGAAAAATTCTACCGATGCTCGCGTAACAGATCAGAGGATGATTGTCGATTTTTTAGGTGGGTCGACGTACGAAATGATTTATCAGAAGAAATGAATCATTTTACAAATGCAAATGAAGCTGAAATCCGTTCCAACCAGCCTGTCGCAGTTACAAATGATTTTTTTCAAAATAAAATGTTATTGGTGGTCCTAATTTTGCTTGTTGTGATTGACTTGAATATGATATCAAGGTGTTGTAGTTGTAAATTAGTAGAACTGTGCTTTTGCATTTTATAGTTGACTTTAAGTTTATATCAAAGTGTAGTAATAGTAACTAAGACGCTAATAATGCAATTTGTTTTTGCTATTTGTTCCTTTGCCTTTTTGAGATCCTCCTGCACTGAAAAAAGCTGCACTTGCAGCTCTGATCCATTCAATAAACGTGAATATTTCTGTAAATCACAGACCCAATCAGCACATTGACTAAGAAACAATTTAAAACCGTAAGGAAGAAATCTTATTAATTGTAAAACTTGTGTTTTTCTGGGAAAGAGGAAAATTAACATCCAGCTTAGCAGGTATAGGCCTGCCAATTTTACTAGCTAGTATGTTTTTGTCGTTTGCATCGAAAAAAAAGATTCAAATAATTGAACAGAATCAAACTATAGGGATTCAATTAAATATAAAAAACAATTAGATCGATCTCCACCAACCAAGAACGCATTGCAGAAACCAAATATGTATGGCATTGCCTCTGTAAATCAAAACGAAGGCAAAAAAATGTGCAAAGAAGTCTGAAGAAAAATGTTTGTGAAATATTTATTACAATAATTGAAGCAAAATGTTTTGTTTACAAAAAACGAATAGTTCATTTTCAGCATATTAGCAATGATCAGCATAATCAAACCAGAGCAACCAATATTTTATTTACAAAATTGGAAATAATTGCTTTACAAAATTGTTACAAAAACATGAAGCTATATGTAAGCTTTAAACATTTGAATATTAGCAATGATCAGCACACCTAATCTGCATTTTTTCACGTGGAGCATAAATTGTTAGCATTTCAAAGTCAATATCATTTCCTTGTTTGTCACCATTACGGGTTATTACAAGTGCTTCTATGGTGGCCACAAGAATTGCAACGTCCACACTTATGACTCATTTTAGTATTCTTTGTGGTTGCTAATAAGTTTTTAATTCTTCTTTTCTTCGGTCTTCCACAAGGTCTACATGAAATTGGTGGACCAACATCCTCGCCATCACTAAGTATCAACCACTGATCCTTCCCTGGTAGTGTTATGATCGCTCCTTCATAAGTGATTCTATATATGCTCAAAGAAATAGAATTAATATGAGATAATAAGAATGAATTCATAAGACTTAATTGGTTGCAAACTTAGATGTGTAGTAGTGATCGTCCACATAGGTGTTCCAAAGATTGTAATGTTCTGATTTAATGAATGATGCACCATGTACGCATGGAAGTCCAGACACTTGCCAAAATCCACAACTACTTATATGGTTCTCAATATCCACCTCATGCTGGTCATATCTTCTTTCGACCTCAGCCTTAGATGAAGTAGACTGGCGAATAAGAAAGTGATATTTCATTGTTAATTGTAACTTCTCTAAGATATTCCTCCATGCAAGGAACAAGTGGCCCCTTCCAAGAACTACAATTTAACTTCCTTTGGGAACGTTGTTCCATTATCATTCCTCTAATCATGTCGATTAGATCAACGACTGGTTTACTCCTAGCCTCTTCCACCCATGAATTGAAAGATTATAACATATTATTTGTGTTGTATTGATTTTTAATATGTTGAAAAAAGTTGATTTAGACTATTTACATGTCAATGCACTTAGATATGAATGTACTCCAGGACTAAGCTTACGAACTTCTTCAAAATTGGCATTGAAATTGTGCTGACTAAAACAATTTACGGCAGTCCAAACCAATTTCTGTAATTTTTGCCCATCTTCACGGCGAAAAAATTTCTTAATTTTCTTCCAAAGGTGTCTCATACACACCCTATGCTCAGCTTTTGGGAAAATAACCTTTATAGCTTCACCTAGTACTTTTTTTCATATCAGATATAAAAGCCAAGTGTTCTATTTCACAACAAAAAGCTTCAAACAAATTCTTTAGAAACCATTCCCAACTCTTCCTTGATTATGATTCAGTAACAGCAAATGCAATAGTGAAAAGGCCATAATTCCCATCAAGACAATCTGCAGAAAGTAGAACACCTAAATATTTTGATTTCAAATGGCACACATCAACACTAATTAAATATCTACAACCGGAGAGGAAGCCATCAATGCAAACTTTAGTATGGAATTCTTTTGAGTAATTCAGGCCTTAACGTTGGAACCCACTTGTAGTTCTCATCTATTGATCCAAACATTTGATCTCTTATTAGTGCCCTTAATCGCCATATTTTCATGTAGGGCAAACTTAGACCATAAGCACTATCCAAGTTATTACTAATGTCCTTTGGTGTAATATATAGATTTTGTTTAACAATATCCTGGGTTTCTTACGCAACCCAGCTTGTAGTTGCTTGCTTGTTCCCAGCTTTATTGACCACTAGGCATAAATGTGTAGGATGTAATTTGTTCACTTCAAAGAAGTAGCCATCATAACATAAAGAATCTCTTATCCTCCAAGGACAACCACGACATGAGCATGTAGCAATAACTCGTGATTTGTCACTGGCCTTTATATTGATATCATAGTTATGTATTATTGCGTTGGAACGAATGCTTTTGTTTGAAACTGAATGAATCCTCAAAACGCAATCCCATAACTAGCAAATTATCCTCTAAATCGGGAGTCTCAATCAAACCATCAGACATTCCTCCAACTATTACATCATTGTTTGCCATTTTGTTCCCACTTAAATCATGCGTCTCAACATGATGACTATCACAAGTAATACCCATATCTTCTTCAAGCTCTTTCACAACAACAGCAACCTCCATTCTATTATAATCAGAAGAATATGTAAGTGTTTGATTGAAAAATATAATTTTGAAAAACTTAATTTTCTTTGGGGGAGATTAATTTCTGAAATTTTGAAATTGAACGCGTCATTATAAATAATATATCATCCTAGGAGGTGAACATATCATTCTCTAATGGGTTTAAATTACAAAATTTTGAATTTATCCTGATTATCGTAGTCAAACTCAGGAAAGAATCACATTTGACCCCGGAGGATCAAAATGGAATTTAATCAAGTGTTTAACTATGCTAATCTGGATAAAAGATCATTAATTTCATAATAAAAGCCACGATAATAATTGATATATCTCTCTGAAGAAAGAAGATATCAATCACTATCGATCGTTTGAAAATGATAATAATGATCGTTGTATTTAATTTTTCCAAAGAGAATTAATTAAAGGTTTTAAAAATTTTTTATTTTAAAAATCTGGTATGGATTTCTAAATCTCCTACGAGCGCAAGCCTCGTAGTTAATTACATCATAGGAAACCGGAGTTTTCTACGAATACTATCGATTAAAATAGCGGTATAAATTTTATTTAAGATTTCAAAGTTTGTTGTCAAAGGAGGTTAAGGGTTGGAATTTGAATATGGATTGGATCAAAATTGAGCAGTTATTTATAGAGTCAAAGGAAGATGAGTATGGAATGCTTTAAGATTCTGAAACGGTTCAGAAAACACTCCAGCCTATCCTATGTGTTGGGCTTAAATTTGATTGAAAGAGATGTTTAATTTAATGGTCGATTTTATTAGACATTTGAGATTCAATTCTCGAAGGTTAAGGTCTTATAGCCCGAACTTGTCTCAGAACCTAAGTCTAAAGTGGGTACTAAAAAGTAACCATAACCTAGCTAATGTAGTGCAAATCTAGATTTAACCCGACCTGGATTTGTGAGCCAGCTAAACCACATAGGCGCTTTAAAAACATGTATCCGGTCAATTAATGTAGAGTGGTAAGGATGTTATTTAAAAAGTGTTTTTTAGAATGGGGCCAACATCTAGAGCGGATCCTAATTGTCCCCTTTGACTTATGTTGGGTTTTTTTATGCTTAAGCAAATGCAATTAAAGATTTAAGGATTTTTAAATTTGTTGCTAATGCGATGCATGCTAATCGAATCAATTAAATGCTTGAATTTGAATGAAGAATTTTGAAATGAGAATTCCCGACGGTCCCGGCTTACTTCTTAAAACATTAGAGTTTATATGTGACCTTAAATATTTTAATTTTGTTTAAGTATAAATAGATTTTAATGAGTCCTTAAGAGCCTACAATCGAATTCCAGGTCAAAATAAACACGACATGCAAGTAAAAAGACTAGAAAAGTATGTAGTTCTACTGCACAATCAATTGAAAAAATATATTAAATTAATAGCTCAAATTGAAATGTCCATATGACAAGTGCCACTTAATATTACAAACCAGGGTCTGCAGAAAAATAAAGTGGTCAGGCACTACTAACAACAACCCAGATTCAAACTCCTAAAAGACAAGTGACTTTGAGAAATGGGACTCTTCTTTACTTCCACTTCTTTGTCTTCTCACAAGCTTCTTAATCTGTCGGTTTAGGATATTCAAATGAAAAGAAACTCCCCCTGGAAAGGGGTGTTATCTTTTCTCTTTGAATATTTTCAAAATCATAAAAATTTGGAGCTCCAAATGGAGATGAACTTACCCCTAAGGGATGTACCTTCCTCTTTGAATTCAAAATTGGATGTTTTAATATCCCATTCTCAAGTCACTTAACATTAGAGCTCATTTCAAATAAAATTACATTAATTTAAAATAAGAATTTATACTCGATCATGTAGGGTTATCCTAATAATCAACAGTTATATGTATAATCTCAAGTAGTTATAATTAATCTCAAGAAGTTAATATTTAAAATTTAAAATGCTCAATTACTCACAACACAGCGTGCAGAAAAGTAAGTAAACAAACACATCAATTCTAAGCCAACAAATAACATGCAGTGAAAGCTCAAAAACTCGGCACACAACGGAAAAATAAACACCGGCCTAGCCTAAAACTAGTGTTGGTTGTCCTAGCAAACCATCTAAAGTGTGTGAGGTAGGCCATGTGGTTTGGATATGTCCTATGGAGGGAAATTTGTTAAAGTTGTTTAAGGGTTGATTGGTTGAAAGACTTAATGGAATATATTGGTTAAAATTTAAGTCTTAATGGTTTGAGAATAATTTTAAGATTGATTTTAATTATTGGTTGGATACCACATTTGTTTCTCACCAAGGTCGTGAAGTTTATTTCACCTTCCTTGGGGCTAAGCTAATAACCTCGTAGGCCTGGGTTACCAGTGGTACCCGGTATAATTAAGTGATTTGATTTGATTAATGTTTAAA